TATTTATGATTTGGATGGCAGCGATTTACTTTTATAGTATAAGATGACTATTTTATTAACCCAGCATTGATAGTTATGCGTTGACTATGTAAGACACTGAAGTAATCCATTTCTAGAAAGTATTTGTAAATAATTCATTCACATATATTTCTTTTTTACCATGTCACTTTATCTTTTTGAAAGACTAAGCTTAATTTTTTTTTTTACCACCTAAACTGAAAAGAGCAAAAAAAAAAAAAAAAAAGACTGCTGAGCTGATGTAGCTTTAGGAAAATGGTTCATTCTTACACTCAAATTTGATATTAGCTTATTTTTATATGGGGTTAGTACAGGGTGTCCTATTAGTGCAGTTGTTGGCCTAACAGCATGACTTCAGTCTTTTTTTTTTTTTTTTTTTTTTAAAGTTAAGCGTCATCTGCAGAGAAATAGAGTGGAAAGTAAACCTGGCAATTATTAACAAAAAGTGGCAACAGTTCCAATAAAACAAAACGGTTCATGAAAGGAGTTGTGTGGTACCCCCAAGTGAAGATTAGCGGATGCGGAAAAAGAAAACTTTTACTGAATGTGTACCTTTAAAAATCGCAACAATTACTGGTTCAGTTTAATGATTACATACATTTAGATACAACGTGAATTATGTGTCTCTATTATAGTGTAATATATGAGGGCTGTCTGGGAAAATACAAATTGTAATTTAAAAACTGGAACTGGGAAATGAAATCATTACCAGCCTAACTGACGTTCCAGTGAAGCTTATAAAATGCAAAGTTTGATATTGGAATGATTTGCTAAATCAACTGACTGATAAAATCGCTTGTCTGAACATGTAACCAAGCAATTGTTGCAGTCTTGCATGTCCTGTAGTGGTGTTACTCCTTGCTTCTTGAAGGGAAATTTGCAAACATTTGTTTTCAGAAATGAATCCAAACTCTCTTTCTTCCTCTTTCTCTCCTCTCTTCCTCTCCCTCTTAGGCCAGGGGAAGAACAGGAGGCAGAGTGTGTTGTTTTAGTGCTGGTGGGGAGGTGAGATGCAGAGGGAAGTGACACGTGGAGCTGTCTCGTCGAGACGAACATTTACCAACTCCGCCACACACAAAGTGAAGGAGCGACGCACACCCTGCCACACATAGTCATACACTCCTACCAGAGGAAAGCAAAGACAAACACCCGCACATTCACATTCATGCAGGAAATGTGACAATAAAATCACACGAATCCATGGCTGAAGAATTTTAACTTATAGATAAAAGACTCCATTCAACCCTAAAGATGAAAATAATAAAGAAATAAAAAGTGAAGCTGGAAGAAAAGTCGGAGAATATATTTTTTTTCTCCTTGCTGCTACTACCACTGCTGTCCAGAAGAGGGCAGCGATATGATGTGAGCTGACTCAGATTTGAAACAGAACTTGCTGTATCAGTGAGCTGTGAGGAAGAAGGAGTCAAAGTGAACACGAATCAAAGGCAAAGAGAGTAAGAGGTGTACACTCATACTTTCTGCCCGAATTATTGCTGTACATAGATAGATTAAGCTGTAGACCTCTTGCTTTTTTTTTTTCATAGCACACCTCAGCCTGAATCCAAACTCTAAAGCATTGCACCTCAACCCTAAACCTTTACCCAACTCCTTAAATGATGTTTCTCTGTCTTTTTTTATACATCTCTCTTAAAGACACACTGACTCACACTAATGGCTCACTTGAAAATGGAGAGTGTGTGGATAATTGGAGTTTACAGAGATAAACATTTGCACCTTATTGCTCAGCAGAGGTCAGGGCGGCTGTCTTTCTGTTACCTCATCAGTCACTCCAGCAGAGTAGGATGCCAAGTACACGACTGAACAAGAATCAATTGAGAAACCAAAAATGAGCCCATTGAAATGATAGGACATGGATAAGATGTGTTTTTTTGCACTACTTCAGTACTTTATATTTGAAAAACTTTGCATTCCTGCAATGCTGTAAAAAAAACAACAACAAAAAAAAAAACACTACACTGCAGGATGTTGATCTGTTTCTTTGAGAAGGATAACACTGAAGAGGTAAAGGAAGTGTACAAATCCTCACCTGCTGATTCCGAGACACCTCCCTCGTCCTTTTTGCCTTGACTGAGAAGTTATTTGTTGTCTCATGTGCAGGTGTTAGTGTTAAACTGTCCTCTTTGTATCTGATTTCACCTCCAACTCATGAGTAGACCCTTAAAAAAAACTCTTTTCTCAAACCTTATGTGCTTTTTTTTTTTTACTGTTTTACTTTACTTTTTTTTTTAAATAAATCTGTATATATGATCATGAGATTTACTTTTTCAGAAGAAGCAATGATTATTCCAGGATGCTGTTCTCAGTCTTAACAGTGGGTGATAAGCTGGGGACATGTTGCACATTCCTTGAGCTCAGGACTTTTTGCTCGTGTTTATTCTGTGGATGCTGTGAGGTGCAGGTGATCGCGTGTTCCCCCAGTACAGCAAATCACGGTCCGAAGTCCTTTGCGATGCTGGTTTAAACTGTATGTAAAGAATTTCAGTCTGTGTTGTCACTCATTCTCTGTTAGATCCACTGTAACGTTGCTGTTCAGACTACCTTACATTGCGTCCTTTTCCCGTCATCTTTGTCAGCATGTTTCCGTATTAAACACACGTTTTTATGTTGGTATGTGGAGTAGCTGCTGCAGGACGTGTTGCATGGGAAATGATTTTATCACATGAATATTACACCCTATAACACATAGAGTGAACCAGAAGACTGTACCAAAAACATCGCAAAGACAATGACAACACAGTGTAAAAGTGTGAAGAGAGGTTATACAATAAACCTAAGTCAGCTGAGACACAGTATTTAGGCACTGAGACATGCAGTGTCCACCATATGTCCTGCAACGCCCTTGTAAAAAGATTGGAATAGCAAAATCAATTGGAAAAAAAAACAATTAAAATACAGCAAAACATTAATATTTTATTGCAGTGAACTAATCTGAAGTGTATTTGAAGTCGTAGAACAATGATTTAATTTTAACATATTCATTCAGCAGAAAAACGTAATTTATGTTCACTCTTTTTTTTACAAAATTAATAGCTATTCCAATTAATTAATTGTAGCCTAAGTTATTTTGAATTTAGATTTTAACCTAAACACAGCAACAACTTTCAATTTTTTAATTTAATTTTTAAACTTTATGTTATGGCTTTGTATGCGCAAGTCATAAAATCTATAGTTAGACCAACAATTAAAAAGATAAAAACAACTGAAATGGACAAGAACTCAAGTTAATTGTGTTACCATGGACATTATGGGAGGTAAAAAAATAAAATAAAAAAATAAAAAAATTCTACAAGTCATTGTTAGAGAACTGCAAAATTTTCTATGTGAGATTATGTCACTGCAATAAAAAAACAAGTAATTTGAATCATTTTAGTTCCTCCATACTTTTTACTTGGTGTGCCAGTAAGTGTGGAGGGCACTGCACTGTTCATTCATCCATTTTAGTATTACAGGCTGCCAGAACCGGGACGACCAACGTCGCTCCTCCCAAGCACCAGGTGTTCAAGCACACAACTGTTTTTACACACCAGTTAGCTGACTTGTCAGTTAGTACTGTATCTGTCAGAAGGCCTGAGTTTCATCTGCTTCGGACACTGACCTTGTGTCGTTTCTGCATTTTCTCTGAAATGGATTTAGAACAAAGTCAAGCAGTCCCATGCCCTTGCCTGTTATAAGGACTACTTATTTTCCTAGAGTGTGACAGTATGTAGCATGTACATAGATGATCCCTCACTCTGTATATATATAGAAATGTACAGGTTTGATACAGCTATTCACATTCTAGATTTGTTTCCCTTTTTTTTTTTTGCTTTCTTTATTAAAAGTCCTAGCAATATTTCTGTAATCAATAAAAGCCATGGAAATTGTTTGATTGCACATGTGTTTATTTGAGAAGGTGGCGTGACTTTCTGACCAAACCGTAATACTTGACGATAAATATATGTGATTTGATTTTCCAGCTCAACACACTGAATCGGTCATAAAAAATATGACAAAGTTATGTATGTTACGTAGGGAAATGACATGTATTTAACTGTCCACTTCCAAATAAGACGGTACCCATCGTGCTTTTAATTTATTAAATTTAAGTTTGCGACTCGCCTCCTCTTCTCCTTTTCTCAAGTAAATCTACTGCGACACTGCAAGTCAACCAGGCCCTCCGTGTTATTTGTTCAAGCTGGCAGCACTCCATAACAACAACTAATAGTGATTGTAATTTAACAAGAAATTTTTATAAACACAGAAAGAGTGGACGATAAATTCAATTCATCATATCACAAATAATAAAGTACAGATAAACAAATAGGGTGAAAAGCAAGCTAATGGTAAATATTTTAAAACTTAACATAGTATGAACTCATGGAAACAACTGGTTGGTTTCTTTTCACAGTTTTCTTTTGTACATTTTTTTTAACAATATGTCACTCTGACATCTGGTGGCAGTGTGTAACTGTATAACTCACTATTTAAACCAATTCTTCTAAAAGTCTTTTTATTCTTTTGAAGATTGTTCCAGAACAACCTTGTTGTTTTTATTTACTGAAGCTATGGTGGTGGTAGCATCAGATATCTGGGCTTCAGAGGGCCGCGGGCTCCATCCACACAGAAGAGCAGGAACGACATAGCCCCGAAACTGAAAGACACACACTTCTTGGTTAATAGTTTGTTCTTTGCTTGCGTGTGTGCAGATAAATAGTGATAAAACGTTACCTGTCTGTTCATGAAAATATAGATGATGGGGTTATAGACAGTGCTGCTCTTGGCTAAATAAACAGGTATGGTGGCAATGACAGGGTCTATATAAAGACTGGAGTCCATGATTACAGCCAGGGCCATTGCTGCGTAAGGCAGCCATGTGACCAGGAAGGCCAGAACCATCACCACAACCATGCGTGCAACCTGCCTCTCTGTACAGTCAGTCCTCCTGCTCTCAGAAGTTTGCAACTTGGTGACCTGTGGAACCACACAGAGGATTTTACTGTGACAGAACAGGCAGCGTGCAAAAGAAGTGCATTCAGAACGTGCACTGCTCACCTGGTGAAGGGTCCATAAAAGTCTGGAGTAGGACACTATGATTGTGAAAAACGGCACTGCAAAACACAGAGAAAAGTAGATAAGGATGTAGGACATGTCAGCAGCATCGCGGCTGTACCAGTTTGGTGCACAGGAAATTTGAACTCCTTCCAGGTCATAACTCCCCCATCCAAACAGAGGCGGGGTGTTCCACACAAACGACCAAACCCAGGAGAGGACCACGCCTGCGACTGCATGCCTGTGGACCATATGAGCAGCATGTTGGAGGAAACATTGTTGTAGTTTTTACAGAGTTAGTGTGCTAAAAGATGGTGGTACATTTCACCTGGTCTGGAAAAGAACAGCCCCCATGGGATAACACACCACGATGTAACGTTCAACAGAAATGACAGCTACTGTACAAAGACCCGAGATACCTGTGAAAAAAGACATGTTAGAACTTTACTTTGAATTTATAATAATTGATACAAAAGGATTCTGTTATTCTTATTAAGCTAAATAAGCTGTTCTTAAATTCTGATCATTCAAAAAATATATTTCAGTTATCTTTATTGGTTTATTCCAAATATCTACCAGATGCAATCAATACTAACACACTCTCTTTGCAAAACTGCTTGTTTTATATGCTAAACCCTGTGCTGTTAGTGTTGGTAATGTAATTTGAGAAATACAATTTTTTTTTTTTTTTCGTCTTGGTTCCGATTCTCTTTTCTGATACTGGTACCATCTTTAGAGGTGCAATTCTTTTTTCTGTCTTTCTTTTGACTAACCATCTCAGTGTTATTGAATTTAAATTCTGAAGCGGTGGAAATGATCTACATTTCAACAGAAACTAGATCAATCGAGGAACCTGAACTGTATAAAAAAAGCAGCACTGATGCCTGGATGACTGCTTACATCTTAATTTTCTATTATAGCACCAAGTAGTGGCAGTAAAGATCAGAGCACCAACAACTGTCTTCACATCTTTAAAAATGTTCAGTTTTAACACATATTTATCTTTAAAAATATACTTAATCAGACATCACAGATTTATTTCTTTGATAAAATTGTTTTGTTATTAGAAAGATAATAATTGTGGGTTTGCTGTATAAAACAATATGCTGCAACTGACACCTGATATAACAGATCACACACATTATGATGCTCTGCCTTTGCTGAGTAGTAAATTTGGAGTACAAGACAAAGTGAAGAGCAGGAAGATTTTTTTTTTTTCAAAATGTGCGGTTCAAATGAATTTATTCATGTTAAAAAGTAAATCAACCTTAAAGGCTGCAGTTTGATTATAGGATTTAAAATTAAGGAGAACTGACTCACCAAAAAAGGAAACAGCAAAGCCCCCAAGAATGCAGCCCAACCGTCCCAGGCTGAAGCGACCCATGATACTGTTGAAAGTGGTGGGCAGGCCTCCGAACACAGCACAGCCCAGATCGCATACAGCGAGGTTAACCAGGGCATAGTTCAGCGGATGCCTTAACTTTCGATGTCTCACCGTCACCACAATCACAAGGATGTTGAAGATGATCCCCGTCAAAGAGAACACACCCATGATCATGGCCAGTATTGTGTATCCCCTTTGAGACAGGAAGTCTGTGTGGGTTAAACTGTTAGATGAGATGTTTCCAGTGAGGGTAACTTGCTCCATTTTTAAACCCAATGTTTCAATTGGGTGATGAACTCCACAGTGGAAAAAAAAAAGCAGATGAACGCAGCTCAAATCCAGAACTTCCAAGTTGTGATTTTTTTTTCTTTAATCAAGCAGGCTCTCAAAACATGACAACAGAAGAAACAACAACATCTGCTCTTTATTTGTTACACCATCTTCCACAAGACGGGTGATCTGGAACAGAAAAGACACTGAAATACAGCTCCTTTAATAAGATCATCTCTAATT